GATTGAATTAATGAACGAATGAATGAATGAATGAATGAATGAATGAATGAATGAATGAATTAATTAATTAATTAATTAATTTTTAAAAAGAAGAAAAAAACGGTATGAAACATGTATGTCGCTTAAAATTAATGATTCGCAGAGCCACCTTTAAATGAACTTCTCCCAAAGCTGTTGAGTTTGTATCCCTTTACCAGGTGTGTACACCTTTTTCAAGTTAAATGTAGGTATTTTTACACCTCACCGACACCAATTAAATCAATTTGGAGGCTGGTTTCCGAATGACCATGCCTGTCAGGGGAAGCCAACCGGGGCTGGGAAGGATACATCATCCCTGCAGAAAGACCGAGGAACTGGGTATAACTTCTCCCCACTCAGGAATCGAACTCACGTGGGGCAGTGAAGAGCATTATAATCACTGCACCACACACGCTGGTTTAATGATAACGATGAAGCTAACATATGTGTCATGACACAGTGGAATCAGGCGCTCGTCAATTTTTGGGGCAACTGGAGTTATTGGTATCAACTGAAAGCTGGTTCATTTGCCTCGTTTTCGATTTAAAAAATGGACATTTATTTTGAATAGAATTCGAGATATTTGCAATTGAAGGAAGTGAAGACACCTGGTTTCAATGGTGATTTTAGTGAGTAAATGGTGGCCTAAAATTGTTGATTTCAATGTCTAAAAAGTCCCTGGAAACAGAAAAAAATAAAATATTTTAAGCCGAAAATAAAAATTGTATTAAAGTTTCCAAATTGCCAGAAAAAGGCATGTTTCTCCAATTTCTGTATTTTGACGAGCGCCTGATTTCACCATGTTGCCTCACGTAATATTATTCCAAAACAGGAGAAAGAACAGACCTCTAAACAGAGGCCAACATTCCCCAAGTTCTGTGATCAGGCATACCTTCATTACAAGACCGTCGCCCTTTCCTTAAACCATTACCGTAATTAAAAACGAGGTTTTCACGCCCATCAAGTATCCCTGCGATGTTTCTGCCTCAAATCTTCTTTAGAAAACAAATCCCAGAATTGAAACGACCTCTGCACATCACTTCCGGGTCAAAAGTTGAAACCGTTCAGTCATGTCAAGGCGATTAATTCTGATCCGATGGCGACCACAAAGCAGGGAAATTGGTGATGCAATCGGAGCGCAAGAAAATGCGCCCTGTCGATTACAGATTGAAAGGCGACGGGCCTTTTTACTATGCATGACTGATAATCGGGTCTCGCCTTTGAAGGAATCGACTTTCATCTGCAGC